CCATTCCCAGTCATGGGTGGTTTATGACATTGTTTTAATGGCATTGTTTTCAGCGCATGGAGGTGCCAGTAGGTCACAGCTTTTCAGTTGGCCATTCATTACAACATCCACATGAGTCTAAAGATATTTAACGTTGGTTATAATGATATATATATATATTATACATATATATATATACATACATATATATGTATATATATATATATGTATAATATATATATATACACATATATATATATATGTGTATATATATATCCTTTGATGTCCACATGTTCCACCTTTTTTTCGTTGTTTTGTCCGAGGTATGAACTTTTCCACGATCGTTTGCCACATCCTGATTCTGCTTTTGTAGATCCAGTTCCATTTCTGCCTCCTGAGCGCTTCTTTTGCACCACTGGGAGGCGGTTCACTGGGAGATCTGAACATGGGGAATAATTGTTGGTTCACCCCAGTTAAACACTTAATTATGGTCATAGTTATTTTGGGAAAGTGGGAATTACACAGAGGTTTCACGGATTTAATAGGATTTTGATGGGATGTAAAGTGTGTAAGTGGGTAGTAACCTCGGTTACAAGCAGAGTAAGTGCGTTTGGGACAGTTATAACTGGGATTATAAGCCACTAAGTATCTAATTAGAGCGCACCGCCGCATACCGCGCATTTTTTGTGATTTTTTCATGATGATCCATCCATTCTGGAGTACACTAGCCTATACTGAAACAATCCCAATGATGTTTTCATGTAGAAATTGACATGAGTTTCTCGGCGGCTTTCCTCACCGTGATTCTCGCAGAAAAAAGGGATGCGGACCTTTGGAGTATAGATAGTGGACTTTTTTTTGGTGCCGGTATGGCCCGAGTTATACCAGTTATAAGTACTGACCTAACCCCATTTATGTATATTTATGTCATGTATCATCCCATTGAAATAACCAGTGATAACCAGTTATAACTAATAAATTGCCATAACTGTGGGTGGACTTGTTCAATTCAATCCATCTAATCGTTGCTGATTAGCATGGAGAACCATGGGTTTTTGGCTAAATACGTTGACCACAAATTCGATGCTTCAATACTCAGACAAACATGATCGTAGTCCTACTTGGATCTTTGATGACTGTATGTATTTGAAAGTTCATGAAACTCTTCCCCCGGGAAATTTGCTGAATCCAATCCCAGACTTGGTGAAGCGGAAAATTGATGCGGAAGAACCCTGAACCCCGCCGATTTGATGGTCACATGTGGATTGGTCTTGAAAGGTACCTAAACATCCGATGGTTTATTATCACGTTCCTATTTTAAAGTCCTATTTAGGGGTATACCCTCATTTTCAGACACACACTTTTTCGCCCCTTTACTTCACAGAACAATCATGGACAATCCATCGTCGACGGACAGGCTCTCAGCGCGGCATGGCGTGATTGACAACTTGTGCCTTGGAGCGAAGCACCAAAGGGATTGGAATATGGGCTTCTACCAGTAATCCTACGGTTATGGCCCTTTACCAATTATAAGTCAGGCTTATTAATTATCCCATTTATGGTCAGTTATAACCTGATTTAGAACCATTTATAACTGGAAAAGGGCTTTGACTGTGGGTTTGCTGAGATGTGATTATTTCACCATGGCAACTGAACTTACTGGGAATAGTTTCATATTTTTCGCGGGGACTTGTTGGGCAAATCCAAGTGATATGTGTTCATGAAGCCAACTACTGCATGATCATTCAAGCAAGATATCATGATATCTCTACCAAAAAGCATGTTGCAGACATAGATCTTAATCAGCAGGGTCTTTGTTTTGGGTGGGCATGGCTCTTGTCATTTTCTGTAGGCTCGTTGGCTCAGATCAGCCATAAGGGGGTGTGAGCCAAATTGCATGCAACAACAACTTCCTGATAGGAAAACTTTGGGAAACGTAAGGACACGCAAGCCCCATGTAAACTAAAGTGTAAAATAGGACATACCCATATGCTCCATGTATGGTATATTTACCTACATTTGGGTGATTTTTAGGGCTAATGTTGGTAAATATTCCATACATGGAGCATATGGGATATGGGTGAACGTGCCATTCACCTGCAAGACTTATGGATGAGGCCGGGTTGCATATGACTGCCGCTATCCTTTCCCCAATTGATTCCCTATGTTGTGATAAAACGACCATTTCCAGACACACCCAAATCGCATATAAATTGTTGATATGTGTGTTGATATTTGTTGATATTTGTTGATGCTATACATCCTCAGTATACAACATCTATGGTTGGTTAGTATATACCCCCCGATTCCGAATTCCAACAGGTGACTAACCATGTGTATATATAATTATATATATATCCCCATATATATATAGCGGTATAGAACTATTATTTTTGGTCATTGTATACTTGGAGGATAATCTCACTTAACAATTGCATAGTAAGTGAGGTAAAAATATCCTATCTTTATATGGGATAACCGGACGCATCAGGGACATTTTTTCCATGGGTCAACCCAGCCACTTACGATTCGTGGGACCATCCTCCAAATATTATATAATGATATCGTATTATTAATCAACATACATAGCTGTAGAAATGCATAGCTGTAGAAAATCAATATAGTAATAGAGCTATATATATATACTGTAACATCCTTTTAATAGACATATTGTAACATCCTATCTGGTAAATTAACATACATAGCTGTAGGAAATCACCAATTTATAGTGGGTAAATCAACTATTTCTGTCGCCACATTCGATTCAATAGCTATGTGAAATTTCCCAGAGGGTACTTTCCAGTAGATTAAGATCATCCCTGCCAAATAGAGCCTTGGAAGATGAGTTTCCACTTCGACCCTGGCCATGGTGAAAAAGGGTGGAAGAGTCGAACTATGTCGGGCTGTATTAATTAGTGGAGGCATATATATATATATATACATATACATATATACGGCAAATGCTTGGGCTTTGCCCGGAACCGCAACCACGACAGGCAACGCATCATCATCATCATCATCATCCTCATCATCATCGTCATCGTCATCGTCATCGTGATCATCATCATCATCATCACCATCATCATCATCATCAAACCCTTACTGAAAGTCTTCAATGAATGTAGAAGTTTAACGGGGGTGGGAGAATGAAACCCTTATTGAAGATCTTTAATGAATGTAGACGTGTAACGGGGGTGGGAGAATTAAACCCTTATCGAAGATCTTCAACGAATGTAGAAGTTTCATGGGATTCGGGCTCCCTGTTGAAGGAGCCGCCAGTTCGTTGCACCCAGAAAATATAGTAAGTGATCCCTGCCTGGAAAAACCTAAAATGATGCCCGATCAACCTATGAAGTTATGGCGTATGGCTCGGAGAATTGCAGGCGCGAAGCTGGGCGAGCCGCGCTGCAGGCGATCGCAGTCAGCAAACGTGAACGGGCCACGCGGAGCAGCTCTTGCCCAACGAAAACGGAGCAAAAAAGGTGGGAAAGACAGTGGCTGCAAGTGGGCATCCCGAATTCATGGGCCGGAGGCCGAGTTCCAGATCCCCGTCTGGTGCACTGAGATGCAAACCTAAGAGCTCAAGACAATGGTTTTGAGCCAAAAAATGGCTGAAAAAACGTTGGCTTCAAGTTTTTATTTATTCTAAAATTATCTCAGCAGATAGGTTTTCATTTTGATTACAGTAGTTTTTTTTAAAATTTGTCCAAGATGACCTTTAGAAGTTTAACAGGGGTGGGAGTTTAATATTCCCTAATTCCCATAGGATTTTGTGAAGTTGCATCAACATTTGTTTGGGAATGGGAAACCTCTACGCTGCAACGCCTGGGCAAAGCCCAGGCGTTGCGCGTATATATATATATACCCGATTTTAATATCCATTATAATATACCTTAGCATGTTCCTTCGGTACGGTTTGGCGTTCACAACGCGCGTTTTAAAAACTCGCGTTCCGGAACGTGCGTTCTGAGTGGATCCTTTTCCATTAACCCAAAGTTAATGTATATCCTGGGCCTAGACACTGAAACCTTTTTCCCCTAAATAAAAAAGGATTTCGAGAGCTCTTATGGGCTCAAAATGGTGGATGAAACCACCAGAAAATTGATCTTCCCAACTCCGGATCCTTTTTTGGCTGAAGCAAAAAAGGTTCTGGCCACCAGGTTTGTGGGGGCAAGTTAGGTTTCCTTCCCGGATCCTTTTTTTCTCTGGAAAGAAAAAGGTTCTGACTTCTCACAAATTTTATCGCTATGTGAGACACAGCGGATCCTTTTTGCATGGAGCATTAAGGAGGATTGGGAAGCTTCTGGAGCCAAAAACAACCATAACCCCTCCTGCGTTCGGAACGCGCGTTCCGGAACACCGCATTTTGCGTTTTGCGGCATATTATCCATAATGTTTGCCTCTGATTAGAAGCTTGGTACCCTATTGTGAGAAATTTCTTGCGCCTAATTCAGTAACATGCTAATTGTTGGGGGGAGCCTCTATTGTGAGATTTTTTTTGTCAACTTTTAGTTTTTTTTCCAAAAGCTTTATTGTTTTTTGAAATTAATTAGTTTATTTTTATTTTTAGTTTATCTATTTTTATTTTTTTATTTTTACTTTGTTCTATTTTTATTTTTATTTCATTTTTATTTGCTATTGTTTCATTTTTCATTGTTTCGTTTCTTATTTTTTTTTAATTGCTTTATTTTTCATTAATATATTACCCTATGAGTGGCTCAGTTACTCAATAATATAATTGTCTGGATGGTACTCTATTGTGAGCACCCACTTTTGGGAGTGAAAAAAACAAAACCCTTTCTCGGACCCTTTCTCCACCTTTCTTTGGGTAAAGCTGGTCCTTTTACTTTAGAAAGCCATAGTTGTGTTAAAGCTTTAAAATGCAAGGTTTCCCAAATAATTAGATGCCTTATTAAACCCTTATTAAAAAAACAGCATCCAGACAGTTTTTCAAGGGGGTACCTCATGAGTGGCTCAGTTACTCAATAGTGATCATCGGTGACGCGGGAGCTGTTGTCCAGGTAAATTTCTGGACGCCGGCAGCAGAACAAGTGGAAAGTCTCCTGCGAAAACCTTTCGAAGAGGAAGATCAGTTTGTCAGGGTACATGTGGTTGGAGCTGAAATAGTCGAGCTTGCAGCCCGCCCGCAACGTGTGGTGCGGTTGCAGAGCACGAAGCAAACGGCGGTGCAAGTGCATGGGGCCGCAGGAGTGGTGATCACACCAGTGCCGCAGTTTGTGCTGAGAGATTTTAGCAAGTTGGAGGCAACCGACGGAGAGGTGGCTGTGGTATCTGGCCATGTGACACATTTGAGTGCTGTCCGGCAGGCCCGGTCCGGGGCGAGCATGCGCTCGTTTCTGCTGGTGGATTCGGCCGGGATCGGGATTCCCATCATGATGCATGGGCAAGGATGCTTAGACCCAGATCTGGTGCACGGAGCTCATTTGCTGATGTACTGGGTCTGTGCTTTGGAACCTCTGCAGATCCAAGATGAAAATGACCAGAAGAGTGGGCATTACTGGTGCTACCAAGAGCATTATTGCCTGTATCTGCCGGACCAGAAGGCGGATGTTGTGGTGGTGGAAGAGAAGCACATTTTCTGAGCGAGCTCTGCAATCGTTGCATGCTGGGCAGCAGCGTAAAGTTGCTAGTCTGTGTTAATTCGTGACACGACGGTCATCAGGTTGGGCGTCCAAGGCAACAGCTGTTACTGGGAAGCTGGTTGTAGCTGAACGGCATTTCGATCCCTTGACATTCCGCTGACCAATCGAGCGTGCAGCATTGTACAGGGCTGTGTCCTTAACAGGGACACCCTTCGCTGTTGATCTGGGTTCCTGGCCGTGAATTTGTACCTTTGTGACAGGTCGCGGGATTCTATGCTGACTCAATTGGTGATGCAGTGGGATCTGTTTAGATCCTCAAATGCTGGAAATCGTTTCTTGGATCCCCGATGCATTTTTTTTGCAGAAGAGGGGACTGTGAGAGCGCGCTTTTTTGCATTCGTTTTGACACATTCTATGTTTTGGCGGAAGGTGGAGTATTGGTGCCTGAAGAAAGCGCCTTGGTATCAGATCTATGGCCCTTCCCGATTCCTAGGGAGTGACGAAGATCACGTCATGTGAAGAAATCTAGACGTTGCAGAAAATCAAAGATCAACCACGAAATGGAGGCAATGACTCGGCCAAAGTCATGGAATTTTGCCAGGAAGCGAATTTGTCCAGCGGCACGAGGTCCATAATCATGATCATCATCCTCATCCTCATGCTTATGATCATCCTCGTCATCTTCCTCTTCCTCGTCCTCCTCCGCCTGATCAGCAGCAGCATGATCAGCATCATCATAATGATCTCAGCAGCATCAGCATTGGCATTTGGCATCAGCATCGCAAGCACCACCAGCATCATAGCATCGTCATGATCAGCGTTGTCGTTGTCATCATCATCATCATCATCATCATCATCAGCATCATCATCATGATCATGATCATCATTATCACCATCAGCAGCAGCATCATCATCGGCATCAGCAGCATGAGCACCATCACCGGCAGGATCTTCATTAGCATGACCATCGGAATCAGCATGAGCATCATGACAGCGTCGTCAACAGCATCAATATCATTAGAGCAGCGGCGGCAGTAGCAGCATGACCACGATCAATATATCTGTAATACCATCACCATCATCGTCGCCATCACCATCACCTCACAAGCGCCCTCTTTACTGGCAGTGCTAGCATTGTCGGCATACTGATGGTGTGATTGCTGCCTTTTGGACTCAAGTGCTTTTTTTTCCACCAGGAAACCCTTCAACGTGGAATATAAAATCAGACACTAAAATCAAACATTTGATCAACGTTTCCCATCCGTGGTCCTAGGACAAATATAAAAACGCAAGACATGTTGCCTGTATTTGTTGAGGGGCGTGTTGCATGTGATTTGAAACATGGGTAAAACACGGAGGCGGAAGCGTGAGAGAAATGTGGTAATCAATTTGCAGAAGCGGGGTCGAAATGTGAAGACACCCGAAAAAACGTTTACAGATTATTTGAGGCTGACTAGAAAAGTCCACAACCCTGGCGAAGTCCTGGCCCAGAAGGTTGCCAAAGCTGCGTACCGGGTCAGTCAGGGGACCGCTCCGACTGCGGAAGAAATATGTATAGCTGGACAATTCTTATTCCGCGGCAGGCAGCCAGAAGATGTTGTTCTGGCACACATCGTCCTACGCGAAGGTCATCCAGACTTGGACGTGGAGGGTGTGTACTCTGTGCGAGTGCCCTGGGCCAAGGGCCGAGTTGAGCTGCAAGATGTATTGAAAGCATCGTTCGTCCACACGTGCTTCAAAGCATCCTCCGCAAGCAGTCTGTTGAAGGTCGATTTGTTGACGCAAGCATGCAAGAAAATGTTGCAGAGAATGAAGAAGAATGGCTATGAGAAGCACGATCAAATTGTAAGTGTCATTATTGCAACTTACACGACTTCTGCGCAGTTTGCTGACTGGATGGCGGATTGTTTCAAGGATGGGAAAACGGTAGAGACAGCTATCAGAACATGGGGCCAGAATTTAGACGGTCGAGCAGTTTTGGGCAAGCTTAAGCTTGGAAATGGACCGCGAAGGAACCGGCACACGGCAAAGCTCAAGATTGAAGACCTTTGGGCATTGATGTCTCGTTTGGATGGTACTCTATTGTGAGCACCAACTTTTAGGAGTGAAAAAAAATTGAAAGTAAATTAAAAGTAAATTGAAATCAATTCAAAGTAAATTGAAATCAGTTGAAAGTAAACTGAAAGTAAATTAAAAGTAAATTTAAAGCAAATTGAAAGTAGATTAAAAGTAAATTGAAAGTAATTCGAAAGTAAATTGAAAGTAAATTGAAAGCAAATTGAAAGTAAATTAAAAGTACATTGAAATCAATTGAAAGTAAATTGAAAGTAAATTGAAAGTAAATTGAAATCAATTGAAAGTAAATTGAAAGTAAATTAAAAGTAAATTGAAATCAATTGAAAGTAAATTTAAAGCAAATTGAAAGTAAAGTAAAAGTAAATTGAAAGTAAATTGAAAGCAAATTGAAAGTAAATTAAAAGTAAATTGAAATCAATTGAAAGTAAATTGAAAGCAAATTGAAAGTAAACTAAAAGTAAATTGAAATCAATTGAAAGTAAATTAAAAGTAAATTGAAATCAATTGAAAGTAAATTGAAAGTAAATTAAAAGTAAATTGAAAGTAAATTGAAAGCAAATTGAAAGTAAACTAAAAGTAAATTGAAATCAATTGAAAGTAATTAAATTAAAAGTAAATTGAAATCAATTGAAAGTAGATTGAAATCAAGTGAAAGTACATTGAAATCCTTTCTTAAGTTGATTGACCAAAAAAATGTTGAGGGGGGGGCAAAAAAAGTGCGAGTTATAGAGTATCCTCAAATTGTTTAGGGGGCGGGGGCCCTCACACTAATCAGAGGCACACATTATAATATTTTTCATTTGTAATATACAATATATTATCCATTTTAATATTCACTAATCCCATGTATAATCCATTAATATACGCATGAGGCATATATTTTCTACTTGGTCGAACTATTGATTTAGTGGAGGCTATTTTATATTATCCACTATAACCCATTAAAATCCATAGAATATTTATTCTACTGGAAGCCACATATGGATTACATCCAACATAAACCCATAAATATAACATTTACTAGCTGAATATTTAATATTCATTAATTACTATAATATCCATCATCATCCATATAATATCCATTATCCATCTCCATACCCATCATCATCGTCATCATCATCACCATCATCATCATCACCACCATCACCATCACCATCACCACCACCACCACCATCATCATCATCACCATCATCATCATCATCCATTAATAACTATTGATAACCATCATCGTATCATATTCATATCCCATATGTTCCATGAATATTCATCGTAATCCATTTTGCTATCCATTAATCCACATCATATCCATTTCATATCTATTAGAATCCCATATAATCCCGTATAATCCATTAATATACACTAATATCTATATATTTGCTGCGTGGGAAAACCACCCAGGTTAGGTGGCCGCGACTTCTGTCCCTTCGTGGAGAGTTTCGCCGGCGCCGACGAGGCAGTCGAACAGTTCCGCGGCGAACTGATGGACGCGCCTTGGTCGCGCCGGCGGAACGGGAGGGGGGAAACGGGAAATGCCATGGAAATGCTGCGGGGTTACACATGGTTAAACCAACCATAAATGATGAAACTTGGTGGTTTAATCATCTGTTTTTTTCAGCAAAAATGATGAAATGTGGTGGGTTTACCACCAGAAAATGATGACACATGGGTTGATCAATATATACATATATACACACACACACTTTATTTTCAGCGAACAATATGCAATGTATGGGGGTTTACCAATAAAAAAACATGAAACTATGTGTTTAACCAACAAACATATAGGATAGAACTGGTTAATAACTGGATCAATGGAATGCTGGGAATTGTCTGAGAATTTTCAACATGAATGGCAAAATTGTGAACAGGAACACTCAAGATTTGAACATGGCATGGGTTGCCGGGAGAGAAAAAATAACAATCAAAAATATGAAATCCCAATACTTAAGGTTGTTGGACCAAGTATGCTTATAGCCACGGATCCTAAGTTCCAGTTTGGATTTGCAGTCCAGATGTGGAAAGTGGTTGAGAAACCATTCATATGAGTTTTTTTAGCGAAAACATATGTAAACATGAAATTCAAAACTGGGGAGACTGACTTTGGTTATGTTCATTCAACACACAGGATTCCTGACACGTCCGATCAGATGCGCCATGCACTTCTCTGCCAACGGGTTGGGGTTTGGGTTGGCTATGGATCTCCCAGGTGATACTCTGTGAATTGCAGCGGAAGTAGGTTCTGTGGGCAGGGTTTGTGATCAAGCTTGTCTAGAGAGAGTCCCAAGACATGCATTTGTATAGTTTCTGTGGCCTTGGGCTTTATGAGGGTCCTCAAGGCCCCAAGACTATGCCATGCAGATCCATGTCCATGGACGCAGCATGCCGGCCTTGTGTGGTAATGCGCCGCCCAACTCACTGGTCGATCCCCTCGATGGCCGGACCTGTCCTCGGACGGTCCTAGTTTAAAGCTACAGGATGTTGTTCTAGTTTGGGGTGTGTAAACCCATCGCACTCAAAACTTAGACCTTAGATCTCCATCCGGTTACTTTATGTATATATATATATGTGTGTGCGTATTCCATGACGGACCCACCACATCCCCACCAACTGATTGGAGTCAAATACCCCTTGTTTGTTTTGATTATCAAAGGAAGTTTAGGGGGAGAAACTTCCGTGTTACGGACTTTTAGAATGTCAGGGAAAGAGTTAGTCAAAGAAAGAGTTAGTCAAAGAAGAGTTAGTCAAAGAAAGAGTTAGTAAAGAAGAGTTAGTATAAGAAAGAGTTAGTGAGGGAAACAGTTAGTCAGGGAAAGAGTTAGTCAAAGAAAGAGTTAGTGAGGGAAAGAGTTAGTCAAAGAAAGAGTTAGTCAAAGAAGAGTTAGTCAAGAAAGAGTTCGTCAGGGAAAGAGTTAGTTAAAGAAAGA